AAGGGTATGAGTGGGCGAGGATCCTCCTCGATTGGACCAGCCTGAAGAAGGCCTTCTGTATCCAAGAGATGTCGAGAGTCGACTCTTTGTCCTCCAAGGTTGACACTTTGCTCATCACGGTCTGCTCCTGCTTCAACTCAAGCTTCAGCGAGTCAAGGTGGGCTTTGTACCTGTCGTAGTAGTGCATATAGCGGTCAAGCTCCTTCTTGGCGGTCTCGGATTTCTTCTTGTAGTCTTCCTTGTATCGCCCGCAGCTGTGGTTTGCGATGCTGTCCCAGGTGTGATCTCTTCCAGTAGCAGCACCACAGAGCCAACTGCACCAATAGGAAAAACCAAAACAAGAAAACGTGCCTTATCAGCAGCAGCTCTATCACTAAAGTATTTTGAGAGGCAGAAGCATACTACTGTATAATGAAGAACATTGTTCAAGTCAATAGTCGAGAAGGTAATACCAGTGGAGATGGATGGCCATGTTTAGCATTTCTATACTTTTAGAAAGTCATACATCCTATTCTACTCGGTAACAAACCACTCCTAAAATCAGACATCCATCAACAGAACTTAGAAATCTATAAGTTTCAAATCCTTTCAAAATCCATGGATCTTGTACCATGCATCACTTTTCAAATCCTGCATCCAGGCTACCTCTTAACTCTAACTCCTACTAAAAAATAAGTCTCAAAGAAAAGGTTACCAAAATGCCTGCTGACAAGTACAGATCACTAGATTGCATCCACCGTCCTTCTGCACTAGTTTGTGGCATTTGGGGCAAGGTTTCGTGTTGACGGTGATCCAGCTGTCGGTAGCATCCTGGTTCTTCTTCGTCCAGAGCTCCCACATTCGACACGAACAAGGGGAATGTGCATCAGCAGCACAGCTGAAACAGAACTGCATGCCACACTCACATTCAACCTCACAAACCAGGTCATCAGCCTCTACTTGAACCGCATTCCCACAATGAGGAACACTCGGGCACCATTTTACTCTTTTGTTGTCTTCTATGTACGAGTCCAACAGAAACTGCTCAAACCTATCAGCCAAACTATGATCCGCCGATCTCACCAAGTCCCTAATGTGAACTTCATCGCATATGCATTCGCATCTTGGTGCCATGCACTTTATCCTTCTACCTTGCCCTTCTTGGATCTTCACAACAAAATGTTGAGTCCAACCTAAACGTAAACCATCATCCATAAACATTCAACTAACTAATGGAACAAAAGCCATTCATCCAAACTCAAACCCAGAACCTAAAAACCAACTGGATTAAGGCCCGGTGAGCTTACATGCGTTGCAGAAGAAGTGGCCACAATCCATAGTCGTCACTTCATCGACCGAAACCTCTTCGTAGCAAATAGAGCAATCTATTATGGAAGGGCACCCCGCAGCACTGCCCTCCAAGTTTCCCAATCCTGCTTTGGTGTATAGCCTTTCTTTGCCGTGCTCCACGAGGTACTCAATCAACACATCAACATCCCATCTGAAGTGAATCAGTAAAGTCCGTGCGTGTTTCTCCTTGACAGAGAAGAATTCCATCACCCTTTGTAAATCCTTCCTCTGCGATTCAACAACAATAAAAGGGTTTTAACCAAAACCCTAAAAGCAGAGTACTTTCTAAATCAATTTCCCCAGAAAAAATCTAACCTGCGCGGTTAGGAGCGACTCTCTCGTGATCACCTGCAACAAAAAGAACAACAAGCCAATCCCCAATTTTAAGGCCAAAGACATTTTTCTATTTCTAAAATTGATCGTTCAGTAAGAACAACATACCTTATAGGAAGGAGAATTACCGGCGCTTCGCTCTGCACTCTCCGACGGAGACCGATCCGACGAGCACCCTTCGTCGCCATCATCATCGACGAGAAAATCTTCCTCGTCGTATCCGTAAGAGCAGTCATCGTCGCCGCTCCCATAATCTTCTCCCATTGGAGCGCGCCCCACCGCCGAAATTCTCTGGAATTCCGGCGACAATTACTCCGCTTACCTGGCGGCGATGATGAGAAGTACCTGCGACGGTTTGAATTCCCGTCGATCCGTCAGTGGGTAAGCTGTTGAGCTTGAACGCGGGTCTCCGAGTTTTGATGGGTTAGGGTAGCGAGTGAGTTGAGACGTGTAACCGAGTCGCGCGGGAATCCGTTTGGGATCGCACACTCGGGAGGAGGTCGTGGAAGTTTAGAACGGCAGGGAGGGAGTCCGGCTGTTTAGTTTGGTGGGCCTGCTCGCGACTTTAAGCATCCAATAAGTTGTTTAATAAAATAGGCAGTAACAACTTGCTCCGGAAAATCCAGCCTCTGAATTTTTTTTTCCCCATAGTTTGGAGAATGAATTCCAAACCTCTTTATTAACAATATAGAATAATTAGTAAAGGAAAAATATTTTATTAAACCTCTTTTGAACCATTTCCTTTATCCAAACCTCTTTATTTAATGAAAAATAATTCGACGAATTCATATACATAATCTCTTTACTTATTTGATATCTCTAGATTTTAGAGATATGATATCTCACACAATATTTTATTAAACATGTAAATTCTATGAATCTATATTTCGAATTCACTCTCCAGGCGAACTCGAAAATATTACTAAAAATGGTGAATACAAATATTTGTAAGTAAGAGTGTGTGTGTAACGTATGAGATATTACTCTAGTGACAAGTGAGTAAATTGCTTGACCACTGTACTTACAATTTTACTAACAAAAGTACTTTAAAAACATATATGGAGGTTTGTAAGCTTTCTATACAAGGTTTATTGATCAAATTTATGTGTTGTGAAATTTCGTTTGTAAAAAAAGTGCAAAACGCGCGTAGAATCATTCACACATATATTCACAAATAGTACTCTCCTCAGTCCTCTCATCTTGCAGATAATTAGAGGTGGCAATTTCAATCCAATTCACCAATTTAATCCATCAATCTATTAAAAATATCCACCTAATCCAATCCATTTAAATCCAATCCATTTGATCCAAATCCAATTGGATTGGATCCATGGATTATTGGCAAATTACGGTTTAGTACCTATAATTTTTATTTTTTACATTTTGGTACATAAAATATTTTTTTTTACGAAAAATATCATTGGAAAATTACGTTTTGGTACCTAAAATTTTTCATTGTGACATTTTAGTACCTAAACTTTTTACATTTTACATATTGGTCCTTGGTTGAGGATGTAGTTTGGATTCATGGATAATCCACCAATCCACTTGATCCAATCCATGAATCCACCAATCCATTAAATTCAATCCATTTGATCCATGGATCCACCAATCCAATCCATCAATCCACCAATCTAATCCATTTACCACCTCTACATATAATAGAACAATTATCAATGCGTTGACCCTCCTCCTGCTTGGACACCAAGGTTCAAATCCTTAGAATTTTCTTTTCTAAATACTCCTTTCCCGTGTTCTTTGCTCGGCCGTTGAAGATTTGATGAAGGAAACACGCATGGCCAAAGTCAAAGTTTTGAGGAGGGTGATAGCCGAGCCCGAGAAGAAGGAATGTACTGGTGGAATGGAAGTTGTTGCTTTGGACGGATGGCTTACCACTTTGGTTAAAGAAAAGCAGTGCCCAATTACACCAAGTGGCGTATACGTCTATGGCTCTTTTCTGCTTTACCATTGCTAACCAAATTCCGTTTTGCTAACTCTATTTTAATGCAATAATGCTCAAGTCAATTCACACTATTATCTTCAGTTGTTCTAAAGGGAGAGGGGGACTCGTCACTCACGTACATCAAGCTTGTGCGAGCCTATGATGTACTTTTGTTGTTGGATTTCAGCATCTTAATTCAAACCTCTATAATAAGAACAATCAAGAAACGTTCTTTTTTTTTTTTTTGACAATCAAGAAACGTTCTTCTTGCGGACGAGTTTGATGGTCTGTATGTTTTGTTTCTACTGCACCATTTGAACGGATTCATACCATCTGATTCTTATTCTATCTGATGATCTCTCGATTTCTTCCGTTTAATTTCGATTCCGTCCTTCTCCTTCTACAAACCACATAAACCCCCTACTTTCCCTCCCATTATCACAATTGAATCTTGCTCGTGGATAGGTGATTAATGAACAGATCTTGGTACCTCGGATTAACATGATATGATGTGATTACTAACATACATAGGGAGAGATTTGGACGAAGATTTGAGAAAGAAGTGAAAGAACTAACCCGTGGCCGATTTAGAGAGAAGATATAAATTTAGAATTTGGAAGATACGTTGAATTATTCTTTAATTATTTGATTGATAACTGAACGCGAAATTATATTTTAGAGGCTGTTGGCTAAACTCTAATAAACTAATCCGATTAAAATACTAAACTATCCTTAACTCCCTATGCGTAGCTCCATAAATACGTTGCAGGCCATCATCCTAGTTAGGGATGGCAATGGGGCGGGTTTGTCTAAACCATCCCCATCCCCATCTTCAAATATCCAAACCCATACCCGCCCCATACCCATGCGGTGGAATGTTTGGCAAACCCATCCCCATACCCGTGGGTTTCGGGTACCCATGGGTAATACCCATACCCGTACATCCAACATTATTATCCTAAAATTTACAAGAAAAGTTTTAACTACAACTCTAAACGTACCTATTATATCACGAATTCAACAAAACATGATCATTTTCATAATACGATTCAAAGAATATGATCCTAAAACATTTATTAATACATAATATAGAGTATAATATTTTTCAAATTAGTATGTTCTAATTCTGATACATTTACTAAGTAATAATTTACTAACATAATCTTGTTGACAAAAGGGAAAGTGAAAGAGTGAAAGGAAAATTGAAGGAAATGAATTAGGTTTTGATTAAGGTGGTCACTCAATTACATTTCTACTATTTATTTCCTTGAGTTATCCTCATCACCATTGATAGATTATAATTTGATCCACAAGTTTTTGTATATGTAAAGAAATTCTCTTGGTGGGGCGGATATGGGGCGGGGGAGGCTAAAACCATACCCGCCCCATACCAATCAAACTTTTTGCGGGTTTTACCCATACCCGCCCCATACCCGGTCAAAGCGGGGATTACCCGCGTTGACTGGGTCAGGGGCGGTCGGGTACCCGCGGCCGTGGATTTGATTGCCATCCCTAATCCTAGTTGGCTAGTGAAGGAAGAACACATGTAAATGATTACAAGAAGTCATCGTCATATGCTGCATCCATCCATTCAGCATCACATTTCTTCCAAGCATCCCACTAAGAACTTAGAGTTGGATCAAGACGAGAGGCTAATCATTGTAGGTATGGTCATCACTATCATTGTGGTTTGTTTCTGAAGGGTCATATTGAATGGCAAGAGATCGGTTGAGACCTTCAGGTTAAAGACAAGCAATAGAACTGCTAGAATCTACAGAGGCAAACTGTTCAACACATTCTACAACGCTCTGAGAAAGCAATGCCGAGAAGCAGAGAGTGGATGGGAGGAGTATAAGTGAGAAAGAAACGAACTTTGTAACTTGCCCCAAGCAAAAGCTCAACGCTTGGAGAACTGAGGAGCCTTGCGAGCTTTCTTGAGACCAGGCTTCTTCCTCTCCACGATTCTTGAGTCCCTCGTCAGAAGCCCTTCCGATTTCAGAGGCGATCTGTGGCTGGCACTGACCTTCAGCAACGCCCGAGCAATTCCCAGTGAGATCGCCTGCGCCTGGCCGGAAAGCCCACCGCCGTGAGCTTTCACGAACACATCGTAGCTGCCCTCATAGCCCAATGTCACCAGTGGGACTTTGACGTACTGAATCCACAGCGGATTCCCCTGGAGATAGTCCTGCAAACGCCGAATTGTGAAGAAAGGAAAGTTCAAACTCAACCACGCGACAAAATTGGGGGAAAAGTAAAACCCTAGTGATTGAAATCGGGCACAGGAATTCGGAACATTGACGAATTCGGAGGAAGGAGATGCAATGATTGATTATGACTTACATTGGCATCCCGGTAGTTGATTATGACTTGGCCGGTGCCTTCCTGGAGGACAACACGAGCGATGGAGCATTTCCGGCGGCCGGTGCCGATGATGGGTTGGGCGGCGAATCCGCCGGGGAGTCTCGTCTTCACCAGGTCCTTGAAGGGCTCGGACGGCGAGGCGACGGCAGCGGAGACGCGGAGGGTGGTGAAGGATTTGGGGGAAGGTGAAAGGGAGCGGGACTTGATGAGGGGGAAAGTAAGGGCGTTTGGTTTCTGAGAGACTTGAGAGGAAAATGAGAGAGAGGCGAAGGACGAGGCGAGGGAAGAGATGGAGGAGGCCGCCATTGTCGATTTCTCCGGTTCGATATCGATTAGCTGAGTTGGGATAGAGGGGATTTCAGGTTCTGGGCATAGGGGTGGGAGTGAAAGTGGAGAACTGGAGAAGAAAGGAGGGGAAAGGGATAATGTTAGCTAATTGACAACAATGCCCTCAACGGCCCAATCTCAATCTCCAACTCGAAAACTGTTTAATCCGGTGGGCCAGTGAAACAAATGGTTTGAGTTTTATTGGTCCTATCGAAGTTTGACTACTTTAATCCGTGTTATACATATTATAAAACTAGCGTGGCCCCGACCATTTGGTCAGAAGAAGGTGAGGTATGAGATTTGATAATGCAATGGGGTGTATAGCTTATTGTTGTATAGTTTTTTTTTGGGAAACACGTGATAAAAATAGTGAATTTTAGTAGGAAAGAGACATGAATGATGCAACGAATCAAAAATCAGCCTTATGAACCAAAATCAAGTACCTGTTACCTTGTGAAATAATATTGTTTCTGGTAATATGATGAGGTAGAGACAGTTTTATAGAAACCGAATTCCAGAAAATCGAATAAAAAATCGCCTATCTTGCCGGTTTTCGGGAAATGAGCATCTCACAATCGTTGCTAGCTTTTACTCGGGCCGTTGGCCGATTAATTTGCTTTATAAAACTTTCATCTTCTCATCATTGTGTTTTCTGGTTTTTTGCCAAGCCATGATAAAATCTAAAGAAATCAAGAATGAACAACACGATTTGGAATAGTAACCACCGTTCTTGTATCCTTAGAAAATGGTGGTAGAAACGGACTCACCTGTCAAACTGGTTTGGATTGAGATTTGTATCGGGTATCAGGGAACCATGTGATTATAAATTAGACTTGATTAAAATGGGCCAAAACTTGAAATTCAACCTGTTTGACCGACCCATGCCAAACTCTAATTATTCTTTACTTTTAAACTTTCTATTTGAAATAAAAAATAATGAAAGAAAAGAGATGACTGCAATTCGCCATTTTTTTTTCTTTTTCCGTCGAATCGGTTCAATTCGCCATTTGCACATCACTGATTCGGGAATAAAACTATAGAATTCGAAAGGAAACTGAAAAGGTTTAGGATCGTTTTAATGTTAAAAATAACCAAATAGATCTTTCTGTTTAGTTTTTTACTAACAAATACCAAATGATTCCCTATAATATACACTATAACTTAATCATTATGATATCAAATAATTACATAATATATATTTGAAATGATAAAAATTGGACTAATTGGGTTGGTCGAGGTTGAACCGTTGAATAACTTTAAAATACATTATATTTTAGCCACTAAGATATAAAATAACAGCATAATATATATTATGCTAGAGAAAATAGCTTGGGGGTCGTTTGCTTCAAGGATTTGGTACATGGATTTGGTACCAAAAATCAACTATCAAGGATTTAGGTACAATCCGTTGTTTGCTTGCACCTTTTTTGGAGACAAAATCCGTGGGGCCCACGGATTTTAAGGGTCCAAATTCGTGGACCCCACGGACTTATAAATCCCACATGTTGATGTGGGATTTGGAATATGGCATAAATCCTTGATGAGATTTTATCCATATACCCTCATGCACTTTTAATATTCCAAGGTTGCCCTCAAATTTAACTATTATACATTATAATTAACAATAAATGAATAATATAAACGTTCAATTAATGTGCGAACATGAGTTAGATTTTTTATATCATTTCTTGTGTTCTAGTTTTCTTTGACCTTTTCATGGAACGTGTAATTCTTTGTTCTCCCGATTCTAATATATGTTGTTATATGTCACTTTTGAAAAGGAGGACAAAGAATTGGTAATTGATTATGTTACGTTAAAAGTTAAAACGGAATTTTCTCGTTTATTATTATTGTCCATATGGCAACATTATGCTTATTAGTATGTATTGTCCTTGTTTTGTGTACATATCATAAACATGTCAAACATAAAGAAAATGATAGTAAGGTAATTTTGAAGTTTTGTCCTTGTTTTGTGTACATATCATAAACATGTCAAACATATAGAAAAGGGCAGTAATGTAATTTTTTACTTTAAGTAGTAAATCCCACACCTTTAAATCCATCATAAAAACATCCCAACAAACAAAGGATTGTTACAAATCCATGATGCCTCAAATCCTTGATAAATCCTTGGGTTTTTAAATTACAAAACCCTCATTTTTAAATCCATGAAGCAAACGACCCCTTGTTTTAGAATGACAAACCCATGATGTTCATTTGTTTTACTTGATGGGCAAATCCCGTGTAGGCCAGACCCATTCAACTCTTTTATTTTATGATTAGCGGTTAGCCCATTAGAATTCATGCATTAGTTTATTGTTAATTTATTTTTTCTTTTTAGCAATAAAAAGAGTATTGTTTTTGCCTTTTCATATATAGTTTACCACCACGGAGAAATAAAAGGACTTAAAGAAAAATATTGACACTCCTGGACCCGTTTAATCCGCATGTGTACGGTAAGTTGGCCCGTTCCACAGAGGAAAATGAAAAAAATTGACACTCCCTACTCTACCCTTCCTACAAACGCTCCTGGAGTAGGGAATTTGAAATGGGGGAAGAGTTTTTTCTCTCTGCGATTATATGTTTTTAATTTCAAAAGATACAATAAATGTACTTAGTGTGATTGGTTATGATCTTTGCTTTTCTTAAAAGTGGTCATGGTTCGAATCCTAGTAAGTGTCTTTTTTAATGAATAAAAAAAAGTAATTGTGAAGACCATAATGTCCTTCCTACTTTCACTCTGGATGCAGGAAATTTGAAATGGGGCTTCAAGTTTTCTCATTTGGCTTTTATTTATTGTGTAGAATTGTAGAAATATAAGCGCATATGGTAACAATTTAAGAATTTAATTTGACAGGTACCATATAGTGATTTAATAAGGTAAAATTCACCGTCATAGCCATATAGGGTTAATCCTCCCGACGAGCACCACGTGTCCGTCATAAGCTAAAAGCACCAATGTGGAAAGAAAAAAAAATATTAGTACTTGTGTGAAAATAATATAATGTTTATGGGTTAATAAGATGATCATTTTACCTCGAGCGGGGCGAAGTTGTCCACGTGGGTATCAAACAAAACAGAGTGCGCGTAACAATCCTTCTCCCCTGTCTTCGGATCGAGCGCCCTGCACTCGCAATTCGACAGCAAGATATTCGAGATCCTCCAAATCGTCGGATCGTACTGTTTACACTAAAAAAAATAATCGTGTACCGCATTGATTATTTACAAGACATTAACTGTCTTTATAAGGCCAGATCAATAATAACAATTAATGTTATTTAAACTGAGCCTACGATACTAGATTTTTAAACCCAAACGATTAGGCCTGACATGACGCATGAGAATAAACTAAGTCTGGTGCCTCATCGCGACAAGCCTCCTCGCGTCAAGTTGGTAGACCGCCTTCGTCTAAACCACATCGCGAGTCTACAAGATACGTGGGGAGAAGGTCACAAGATAAATGAAGTTCGAGCGCCAAGCCTCCTCGCGTCAGGCCACTTTGCGAGTTCGCCAGGCAACCTCGTCGCAAGTCCGCCAAGCCTCTACTAAGTCTAAGTGCAAAGCCTTCTCGCGTAAAGTTTGGTAGAACGCCTCGTCGCGTCAAGTTTGGTAAACCACCTCGTAGCGTCGTCATCATGTTTGACAAACCGCCTCGTCGCGAGATCTGGAATATCCATGGTAAAGGAAAAGGCAAGTAACAAGACGTCAGTTCCAAAAGGGAGAACCGGCGGTTTGATTGAGAAACTGGCAATTACTTCACGTTCAAGGACACGTCAGCCACGTCCGGGAAAGAAGGGAAGCGGTTCTTTTTGGAAGTTACTCTCCAGACAGTTTTCTACGACGGTTATCACCTCAAGCCTATAAATAGGAGGAAGAGTTGTCAGAGAAAGGAGTCGCAAAAATCACCACTCGACATCATTTGTCAAGTTTTACCAATTTTTATCTTTCTCCTGCAACTTTTATCAGTAGTCGTAGATCTGGAGCTCTCTCAGAACCTCATAGGAGTAGGAGTAACTTAATGTAGATCTGTCTCGAGAGTCGTGTAAACATCGATTATCCTCGTCCGAACTGTGTTTGAAGAGGTGTGAACCGTGTCTTAGTGATCGTTGTCCAAATAAGTCAAGGGGCATTCAATTCTCATTCAACGCAAGTTTTCTTGCCGGAAAACAAATTTGGCACACCTGGTGGGACCCTTGTGGTCGATTCGATGGCTCCGAGGCGGAGGAATCCGGAAGGTGACGTTCCGGCTGGATTCGTGGAGGAGCAGGTGGTCAATATCGAGCATGGCCAAGCGTCCGACGCGGTTGCCGGAGGAAACGGTGGAGCAGAGATCTTGGTGGCGACTGCGCCTGGTGGAGATCTTGGTGAAGCTGTGGGGGCCCTTCGTCAGATGATGGAGGAGAATCGCAAGATGGTGGCTGACAACCATCAAGCCACGGAGGAGAACTGCAAGATGGTGGCAGAGAATCTTCGAGCCACGGAGGAGAACCGCCAAATGCTGATGGAGAACCGTCGCATGTTGGAAGAGACTCGGGCCAGTACTCATAAGGTAAATTCTCAAATGGACTGTCTCACTTCTCGCTTAGATAGACGTTTCAGTCAATTGCTTGAAGTAGTCAACAAAAATACAAATGAGGTGGATCAACTACGACAGTCTTTAAGTAGACCAGCAATGCAGTCATGGGCTTTGCCATTAGATGGCACAGGCTTAACGCCTACTAGTAGTGTTCTTTCTCCTGCCGGTGGTCGGAATGGCCAACCACGGCAAGAGAACTTGCCGCCTCAAACGGCAAGCCAACCACCTCCACGTCGAGTAGGTATGTCGAGATTCCTGCTACAACTCAAGTGGGGGAATCGTCACAGGCACGCGTGAGAGTTGAAGTGGTACCCCCGCGTGGTGAGAACCTCGCCACCATGTTCAACACTCGAGTTGAGCAGCCACCCGTGCAAGTGGGTGCTCGTCCCTCTATCCCGGAGGCAAGACCCTACGTGGCTCCTATGAATTTGGGAGTAGGAGGAGGCCTAGGCGGTAACATGGATCAAATCCCACCTCGAGGCTACCCAACTCCAACGCCACCCCATTTCAATGGGCATGGCACGGATCCCATTGGGTTTGT